GCAACCGGACGCGATGCCCACGCAAATACGTAAGACGCCGCGTGCGCGAGAGGGGGCCATGAACGACAATGAGAACATACAAGTGTATTTAATATATGTATTACTTGGCGTGTTCGCGCGCGATAACTGAGACGGCGGGCGTGCGGTGGCGCGGGAGTGTGACCGGGGGGCTGGTGTGCGTGCGACGGCGGGATGTGAGCGGGCGGGCACACAAGGGAACAACGTGTTGCGCGACGCGTGGGCAAGGTGGCGGCGCATCTCGGACTGGGATGCATGCGCGCGGCGATACGTCTGTGCCGAGATGATCAGACGGTGCGAGCCGACGGCGCGAGCGCAGAGGACGCGCATGGAGACATCGTGAGGCTGCGCCCGCCGGCGGCCGACGTTCGTGTGCTCGTTGCGCGCACCGCACAATGCGACGACCGAGCGCCCCGTGCCATCGGTGTCAAGGAACAAGCGAGTGTGTCGCCAGCCATTGATGCGGCTCGTCCCGCGCTGATCCCTCTGCCATCTTGCGCCACAGAGTTGCGCCACAGAGCGTACGTGGTCTTGCACGCGTCATGTCGTGCTCGCGTGCTGACCGTCACGTCGGCTGGCCGTCCCATTTCCACGGGCAGCGTGCAGGTCGGATCCGCGGTGCCAGGTACGCCGCGCGTCGGCTCTTGCGCGTCGACGCGTCAGGCGCTGATGACGCTGTCTTATACGCGCCCGTGCGAGGCGTCGTCGGGCAGCACAACATGTGCGCGGGGCGCCGCGCTTCGTGCTGTGTATGCGCCCGTGTGCCGTCTCTGCGCGTCAGTAGCGGGCTGTGATGTGTGTGCTAGCGAGGATCGCGCGTGGGTGCTCTGGACGGCGCGCTGGCTGCGGGCGTCGCTGTCGTGCGCGGGGGGCGGCGCAGTGACGTGAGGACGGAGAGGCCGTGTTGTAGCATGTATGACGTACCTGTATGCGCGGGATGAGAGGATGATGGGGCGTCATGCTGGACGACGCGTGACGGAGGCGGAAGCGAGAGGAACAGGCGATGGTGCACGATAGGAGGCCGTGGTGCGAGCCGCCATGCGAGACGCGCCGAGGAGACGGCGCGCGTCAAGATGGGGTGGGCAGCCGTGGAGGATGGATGGCAAGAGGCAGCAGCAGAGGTGGCCGAGGCGGGTGCAGCGTATGGCGAGGACCGGGAGCGAGCGGGCGGGCTTGGGGGGAAGAGGCGGGCTGTGGAGAGACGGTGCGGGGCGCGACGACGAGCGACGCACAAAAAGAAGAATGTATTTACCTTGCGCGACGGTGAACGTCGTCGACGTTGGGGCTATAGACATGTGAGGGGTGGACTCGAGAGGGAGAGTGACGCACCGGATGACGCACCGGAGTACGGGACGTCTGCTCGTCGTCGCGATCAAGGAGAACCGGGGACGGCAGATGGTCGCGGGTGATGCGCGCAGCGAGCGGGCGCACTTTGCGGGAGGACGGGCCGGTGACGCAAGTTGCGCGCGGGGCGATGAAGGGCGTGGGCACGTTGTCGAAGCCCATGCTGACCGGGCTGCGATGCCTCGACGAGTGCCTTTGGAGGTGCTCCGGGCCGCCGCGCGTGGCCATGGATGCTTGTGCCGCTGTGCTGAGGGCCTTGATGAGGTCTAGTCGAGGGGCGGCGCTATCAAGCAGTCAAATTCGCGCTCAAGACACATATATACAGGCGTGCAGTGGGGAGACGCGGAGGATACATGGCGTGCGAGCAAGCAGACTCGGGTGGAGGGAGGCCTGGGTGAGAGGACGACCGCTGTGCAGGGGCCGTCCAAGGCACGTGCAGGGGCATGGCTCTGCGGAGGGAACGGTCAGTGGGGACAGGAGGGCAGAGACAAGGACGGGGCGTATTCCAAGAGGACGGGAAGCGCCTTGGCGTGAGCGGGGCGGCATGGACGACCGTCGCGCATGGACCCGCAGTGCACTGATCACGCGCAGATGACCAGCGACGGCCTGTGCGCCCCACCCGCGCTAGACGAGGGCGGCAGGTCGAGAGCGCGAGGAATAGGCGCCTGTCGAGTGCGGACCCACAAAGGCAGACAGAGTGTCAACACAGCGCGTCCGGTTCGTCTCTCCCTTTCGCGTGCCGGCCCTTTCTTCTCCTTCACCCGACGTCCACCATCTGCGCTCGACGTCAACTCTGTCATCGCGCGGACACTTCTCGACACTCACGACACCCCACTGACGCCTCGCGTGTTCCTCCCCCGGCGATTCAGCACTCAGCCACACGCTCGACGACACCCGGCAGTCCTCGAGCTCGGTTGCTGGCACGCCATCGTCGATCGCGCATATTCCATTGTGATCGCCCTCGGGGTCCTTGGTGAGTCGTGCCCTGTGTCCCCCGTCCCCCGCACGGCTGAGCCATGTCCTCCTCGCCCGCCTGTCCCTCGCCCGCGTTGCCGCCCCAGCCTCCCAGTCGCGTCCGACCAACGTCTATATCCGCCTAACACTACATACAATATCCCAATCACTCCCCACCCCCACGCCACACACCCCCTCCCCCTCCGCCATGGCCGGCGCATCCCGCCCTTCCCCCGACCGCGCCGCATCCCGCGCAAACCCCATGCACCCCCCGCGGCCCCCCAATGCCTGGATCCTCTACCGCTCCGACAAGCTCAAGCAGATGATGCAGTCGCAGCTGCAGCACGGCCACCCCAAGAAGCCGCAGTCGAGCGTCTCGAAGGAGGTCGCGGCGATGTGGAAGGCAGAGGACCCCGGGGTGCGCGGCGAGTACGAGCGGCTGGCGGACATCAAGAAGGCGGAGCACGCAGAGCAGTACCCCGGATACAAGTTCCAGCCGATGAAGAAGGAGGAGAAAGCGCGCCGCCGCGAGGAGAAGCGGCTGGAGAAGGAGCGTGCGCGCGAGGAGGCCAAGCGGGCAAAGGCGCAGATGTCGGCGTACGCGCCCCAGTACGTGCCGATGGTGCACATGCCGTACTACCACGACCCCGAGCTGCCTGGGTTCCCGTCGCCACCCATGTCGGCCGCGTCCACGCCGTGCTCGACGCCGGGCTCGTCGCTGTCTGAGCTCGCGCCGGAGCACGCGAGGCCGCCCTCGAGTGCGCCCACACCGGCCCCGGCAGCGCAGGTGTCGTACGCGATGCCCCCGCCGCCGGAGCCTGTCGCGTCGGGTTCGACCGCGGGACCCGCGGTGCAGCCACCGGCGGCGCAGTTTCTGCAGGTGCCGGGGCAGAATAGCTGGTCTATTCCGCAGGCCACGGACGCGTCGTCGTCGCAGCCGGGACGGTCCAACTGGACACTCGACGGGCAGCCGCAGGCAGAGATCGACCCGCTGGTGAGTGGCAAAGTCCGTGACTGACCGTGTGGTGGCTGATGGTGGCGCACACGCAGGACTGGCTGACGCTCGACATCCCTTCGTTCGACGACGACGCGGCCCCGTTCGCCGGCGACGCGAACATGCACACGGCCGACGCAAACGCGGGCGGCGACGCGCTCGCGCTGCTGGCGGAGGGCGCAAGCATCTGGCGCATGGATGCGTTCGATGCGAGCGCGTTCCTGGCGGACCCCCCCGGCGACTTTGACGTGCAGTTCGGGCAGCTGACGGCGTTTGACGCGGGGATGGCGGGCATGCGGGACGTGCCGCTGGGCATGGAGATGGGGATGGGGATGGGGCAGGACGCGCACGCGCCCGGCGGCGATGTGCAGCGGCAGGCGGAGCAGTTCTCGGAGCTGCTGTCGCATTTCGACTTTTCGCAGCTGCCGGGGGGCGAGAGCCTGTTCCCGTCGAGCGCGGCGAGCGGTGGCGGCGGCGCGGGGAGCGCGGCAAGGGTGGGATACCAGGTGAGCTCGCATGGGTGTGCGGCGGGTACGCTAGTGCGGCGCGGGGTGCGCTGCGAGCAGAAATATATTTTTGTGCGAGTGACGGGCGTCTATGTGTGCGACTTGGATATGCGAGTGCCTGTGCGACCGTTCATACATCGAGAGATAGGTCTGTGTAGGGGCCATAAAGAACACTGCAGGGGCCATAAAGAACACTGGGTCTGTGCGAAGGGACTAGCGCGCACTGCAGGACTGAGAGCACCCTGCGCAAGACAGCGCAGAGGTAAGCTTGTTTCATTTCAATCTCGTTGATACAATGTCTGCGCTGTCTGTATCCTACGTCGACTCATTGCAAACGAGTCGAAAGCCACCATCTCGCGCTCCTTCCGCTCTTCTCGCTCGCGCAGTAGCTACCATTCTCGGCGTGAATATAGGCCGCATTTATGTGTTTTCAGTCGCATTCTGCAATACAGTCAGCTCTCAATACAGCCAGCGCGATGCAAATCTCGCATGCGCTCACCCGGTAGGCTCACCGGAAGCTCAAAACCGTCGCAAATGTCAGCAGCCCGGTCAGCGCTGTCTTCCATTTGACAGTGTGCACCCTGTGTTGATGCGCGAGCACATCTGTTGCATGTGTACACGCGCAGGCACAACCTTGTGTGAGCGCATCGGGATCAGCGTGATGTGAATGCGCCCCTGGCAGTGTTCAAATGGCCAATCTACTATGCAGTCAGTTCTCAATACAGCCAGCGGAATGCAAATCTTGCTTGCGCTCACCCGGTATGCTCGCCGGAAGCCCAACAACGTCGCAAATGTTGATGGCCCGGTCAGCGCCGTGTTCCGATTCAGGCCGCGCAGCCTATGTTGATGCGCGAGCGCATTTGAGCATCCTGTGTGTACGCACGCAGACATGACCTCGCATGAACACATCGGGGGCAGCGCAACGTGGATGCGCCCCTGGCGGTGTTCATACAGCCAATCTACTATGCGGTCAGGTTTCAAAATGGCCAACAGAAATAAAATTGTGCTCACCCAGTATACTCGCCGGAAGCCTGAAACAGTCACAAATGTCAGTGGCCCGGTCAGCGCTGCGTCTCGGTTCTCGGGCATGCAGCCAACCCGCATGACACCCCGGTCAGTAGAGGTATGTCAATAGAAATTGCTCGCTACTCACCTGACATTTTGTTGACTTGTCGGATGCTTGCGCGACCAGGATCTAGGATGAGATAGCAGGAGACTGGACAGAAAAGTGTATTCAGAGAAGGGGCATAGAGACAGTGGGATCAGGGATGACTCGCAACAGCGAAGCAAGCTGCTTACATATATAAGTATTGATACTGGTCCTTGGCAGCCACTGCACGCACGGGCCCAGGGCGTGGGAAACATACCGAGATATCGGTATGTTTCAGATGCGATGCCGTCATACCATTCTTTTGGGACATACCGGGTGCCTTTCTCTCGCCAAACAGCACAGACCGACATAGTGGCTCTGTTTCAAAGTCCAGTTTGCACCTGCAAACCATGCATTTGGGACAGACCAAGTTGCGGGCGGACAATCGGAGTGAATAATTTGGTACATACATGCGGAATACTGATGATGCCGCTGTCTCCTGCCGCATCCGTGTGCTGGTCCCAGTCGTGCGCTAACCCTGGGTTCCCTTGACCGGACTAGTGACCATGACCAGCACGTCCGCAGCCGGACGCGCGGCTCGCGAGAATGCGCCAACAACGCGTGAGTGTCCACTCTGGTGCGCTGCCTACGTGCGTGCCGGCCGTCCGGCCGAGTTCGCAGGGGCGCGCGGACGCATTGTGCGGTGTGGTTCATCGGAGGGCTAGCGCGAGGGGGCATGACAATGGTGAGAATGTACGGACGTGCTTGCGATGTGTATTACGGAGCGTGTTTTCGTGTAGCGGAGATGGCGGGCGTCTGGTGAGGTGGGGGAGGTGGGTGCAGAGTCTGTGAGCGGGCAGGAGAGGGAGGCCGGGGCGCGTGCGACGATGGGATGCGAGTGCGAGCAGGGTCTGCTACGAACCGGGCTGCGATACACCTGTGCCGGATTGATCAGATGGTGCAAGCCGACGGCGCGAGCGCAGAGGACGTGCGTGCACGGAGAGGTCGCCAGGCCGCGCACAGAAGGCTGCGCTATGACCGGCTCGTAGCAATATTGTAATTTTAATCAAATTATCGAGCGGGGCTCGAAGTGATATTGTGCATCCGGTGGACCGGTCATGTACTGTACATTGGCACCCGTTGTTGCCTACACAATCGCACAGGGTTGCGGCGCATGTGTGTGCGCGTGCTGACGGAGGGGCGGCATGGCACGAGCGATTGAGCATGGAGGAGTTAGATAGGCGCATCCGCATCGTAGCGATCATAGCGAAGCGGGAGTAACAGGGGCCTGGGAGAAGCGCACGATGCGCTTATGCGTGGTTGCAACTTGGCGGCAGTAGAGCCTAAGCGGCGAGGGCGGCGGCGTCCGGAGCGCGGGAAGATTTAACAATGGGGACTCACTTTGTCTGGATTCTAGCCCGCTGAGCTGCCTTTCCGTGCGCCTTCGACTACGCAGCTACCGTGTTGAGGTGAGTCGTCCCGGCCGGCCGTTGTGCACAGGTGACGGAGGTGTTGACCATGTATTGCGGCTCGCAGGTGACCGGTCGTCCGAGGGCAGGAGTGTATGGCGATGGCGGCAGGCGGTGCGTTGATCTTGTCAGTCGACGGTCATGACGGCTGACAGCGCGCGCGCAGACTCAACCGGCACGAGGGTACGTAACCCGACGGTGCTTGTACCCTGCTCGCATCGCGTCGGCTGATCCTCCTAGCGTCAAGTCTGCCAGTCGCAAGAGTGCAAAAACACGCCACCTACCTTGATCGTGAAGGACATGGACGGCGCAGCCGTGCAGGGATGAGATTCACAGTACCAGGTACGTCGCGTTGTGCGGACTTGGCTGCCGACGCACGGACCACTAACGATCGCGCCGTCTTCCAGTTGCGCCCGACCGTCCAGCACGTGTACACACGGCGCGAGCGCGGGGCGGCGCGTGCGTCGGGTGCTGCATGCAGCCGGCACGCCATCCTCCCGCGCCCGGGCTAACCCTGAATTCATTGATCAGATTGATTGCCACAGCCCGTGCGTTCGCAACCGGACGCGATGCCCACGCAAATACGAAGACGCCGCATGCGCGGAAGGGGGGCTATGACGACAACGCGAACGTACAAATATATTTAATATATGTATTACTTGGCGTGTTCGCGCGCGATAACTGAGACGGCGGGCGTGCGGTGGCGCGGGAGTGTGACCGGGGGGCTGGTGTGCGTGCGACGGCGGGATGTGAGCGGGCGGGCACGCAAGGGAGCAACGTGTTGCGCGACGCCAGGCGGCGCATCTCGGACTGGGATGCGTGCGCGCGGCGATACGTCTGTGCCGAGATGATCAGACAGTGCGAGTCGACAGCGTGAGCGCAGAGGACGCACACAGAGACATCGTGAGGCTGCGCCCGCCGGCGGCCGACGTTCGTGTGCCCATTGCATGCACCGCACAATGCGACGACCGAGCGGCCTGTGCTGACCGTCTCAGAACACGCGAGCGTGTCGCCAGCCATTGATGCGGCTCGACCCGCGCTGATCCCTCTGCCGTCTTGCGCCACAGAGCGTAGGTGGACTTGCTCGCGTCATGTCGTGCCCGTGTGCTGACCGTCACGTCGGTTGGCCGTGCCATTTCCACGGGAAGGGTGCAGGCCGCATCCAGGTACGCGGCGCGTCGGCTCTTGCGCGTCGACGCGTCAGGCGCTGACTGCGCTGTCTTCCACGCTCGCGCGCGGGGCGCCGCTGGGGCGTCATGTTGGACGACGCGTGACGGAGGTGATGGCGCACGATAGGAGGCCGTGGTGGGCGCCGCCGTGCGAGACGCGCCGAGGAGGAGACGGCGTGCGTCGAGATGGGGCGGGCAGCCGTGGAAGATGGATGGCAAGATGCAGCGGCCGAGGTGTCCAAGGCGGGTGCAGCGTATGTCGATGACCGGGAGCGAGCGAGCGGGCGGGCTGTGGAAAGACGGTGCGGAGCCGAGGGCACGGCGACAAGTGACACACAAAATAAGAATGTATTTACCTTGTGCGGCGGTGAACACCATCGACGGTCGGGCTGTAACGAGAGAGAGAGAGTGACGCACCGGAGTACGGGACGTCTGCTCGTCCTCGCGATCAAGGAGAACCGGGAGCAGCAGAAAGTCGCGGGTGATGCGCGCAGCGAGCGGGCGCACTTTGCGGGAGGACGGGCCAGGGACGCGAGTTGCGTGCGTTGGGTGCGAGGGCGGGGGGGCGTTGGTGCGGGCGTTGGTGCGGGCGTTGTCGAAACACATGCTGACCGGGCTGCGATGCCTCGACGAGTGCATTTGGAGGTGCACCGCGCGGCCGCGCGAGGCCATGGACGCTTGTGCCGCTGTGCTGAGGCCTGGCGCTATCGAGCAGTCAAATTCGCACTAAAGACACATATATACAAGCGCGCGATGTATTTCAAGTGGGGAGACGCGGAGGATACATGGTGTCGCGCGACACTTTCCCTCTCCCACTGCCGGGACACGCATTTGCGAATGGTTCAGTGCCCGCTCAGTTGCGCGGGCGGAGGGGCAATGTGCGCGCGACCATAGGGCACGCAAACACGCCGTTCGAACACGGGACGCAGAACTGCCCCGCGTTGCGAGCTCGACGCGGGTCGATTGCGAGCGCGCGACCGGCTACGCATGACATGGCGGGCCGCGGACGTGTTCGCGTTCGCGTCGCGCATGCCAGGGGCCGGTGATGCGATCGCGGCATGTCGTCAGTTGTGAGTGTCATCGCCGCATCATCACACTGCAGCGTCCCGTGAATCGCGAATACCTGCGCCGCATTGGCAGGACACGGTAGGAACCAAATATATTTGCAGTTCGAAATGTCCCGAGTGTGATTTGTCCATGCTGCGAGCACTCGATCCTTGCCGTCAGCATTCCGCGGAACATCTCGGCGACGGCAAGACAGGACGCCGCACCTGGTTAACGGTACCGTTACGCCGCGATTGCAGCGGGAAGACAGGACCATGGTGATCGCGCGTAGCGACGTGCCCCTGTGCACTTTGGCCGACCGGTCTCTGGTCCTATGGGCTTTCCGTGGATCGGGTCATGCGAAGAACGCACCTGTGCGAGGGTGCTGATACACAGCATGGCGTACGACTGCCGTGGTCGTCGCCATTTCCTGGCCTTGTTGCCAGGACGCACAGGTACGCGAGGGACGCGGGCGTCCCGTTAGCGTGCGACGGCGTACGTACGGGCGGGTTTCAGCAAACACAGGCTCGGACGCAACGCCGTGCGAAAGGGCGTGACATTACGATGTCGGCGCGGGGAATGGATGGCTGATGCGTCGCCACCAACGGGCCCCGCGCCCTGCGGTGCATTGCACGTCGAGATGGGCTGCGCGCGACAGCTCGCAACACAGCAGCAGCAGCGGCGGCGCGCTGGTTTGGCCGCGGCGCGGGCCCGCCGTCGACAGCCACGACGGTCAGCCTGCAGGACGCACGCGGGCTCGACCGTGCGGTGCGCGCATGGCGCGTCGGGCACACGGCCGTAGCGAGCGAGCGTGGGTGGACGAGAAGACGCGGACGGACACCGCAGCGTTTCGGCGCCCCGCGTTCTCGCATTGTAGTTGTCCTGGCGAGCAGATACGCGAGCGCGCGGGCGCCCGTGCCACCGGCGCGGATACGGGTGCGACACGTCACTGCACGCTACTGGTGTGCGAGCGTGCGACGTCGGACGAGGCGGACGGACGCGGACGTGGGAAGTGCACGGCAGAGCGCGATATAAGGGTCGAGCAGGGACAGGGAGGGACGGTAGCCAGCAGCTGTTGTGCGTCCTGGTGTCGTCTTTGCTATTGCGCGCGCTTTCGTCTGCCTGCCTGCTGCATCCGATTCCAGTCTTCGACGGTGCGTTCGCGGTGCTGAAGGTGAGTTGGTCGATGTTCGGTCGGGGCGTGCGTGCGTGCGTCGATACTGATTGTTGAGCTGTAGGGGGTCGCGGTGTCGCTGCTGTTGGTGCGCTGTCCATGGTATGTCTTCCGCGCTGTCCTGTGTTGTACGGTCAGTCACTGACGCGTCGTCATCCGCACCTCATTAGCCATGGGCCCTCGCACTGGTAGCAGGATGCATGTCGTTGGCCTGGCGACGGACGGAGGGAGCCACCCGGTGCTGCATGGACGGCTGCTGCTGCAACGGCCGCCGCCGCCGCCGCCGTCGGGGTTGTATCTGTCATGGGTGAGTCGCGCGCGGGTTTTGCGGTCTTGTGCTGTGCTGATGCGTCGCGCTTGGTAGTCGTTTGTTTGTACGCACCGGGCGTCTGCTGTTATACAATATATATTTTGCTTTGTATTTTGCTGACCTGTGCAGCGACGACGTGGTGCGGCGCAGCGGAGGCGCGGGCAGCGGGAGCGCGGGGTTCGATGTGAATGCTATGTATGTCGCGGGGAGTCGATGTGTTTGCGTTAAGAAGCGGCTGGATGAGCACTGCGTGAGATACATGTGCCCGCGTGAGTGTGCGAAGGTATACTGAGCGGGAGCGCACCGTGGGAGCGTCAAGAGTGGCGGGTAGCGGCGTCCGTTAGAACAGGGCGCGGGTGCGAGAGAGCGCGGGGATGTTACGAACGCGGTCGCGCATGGTGTGCCTGCGTACGAATGTGATGCGTGAACACGCGCGGCATGACGGGGATCGCTACAGGCAGCGCAGACTGGGCACCGTGGCGCGCGCGGGTCGGGTGCCTCGGCGTGAGTTCAGCGCGGACGCTGTTGTGGACAGGGATGGGCTCACACATGACGCGGCAACGGACACGCCAGGCAGTGCGCTGCGGATAGTGAAACACAGTGAATGCGTCGAGCTCGCGCATGGACCCGCTGCGCACGCGTGCGCCCCGCCTTGGCATGCAATGAGCTAGACGAGGGGCGGCAGGCTGACGACGCCAGCCGCCGGACGCCAGACGCGGCGGGGGCAGAGGGAGGCGCGAGGAATAGGCGCCTGTCGAGTGCGGACCCACAAAGGCAGACAGAGTGTCAACACAGCGCGCGTGCCGGCCCTTTCTTCTCCTTCACCCGACGTCCATCTCCCTCGCTCGCTCGACGCCCAATCTGCCATCGCGCGTGACATCCCTCTGACGTCTCGCGCGTTCCTCCGCCGCCGAGTCTGCCCTCAGCCACAGGCCTCTGCCGGCTCGACAGCACGCCCGCCAGTCCCCAAGCTCAGTTGCTGGCACGCCATCGTCGACCGCGCATATTCCATTGTGATCGCCCTCGTGGTCTTTGGTGAGTCGTGACCTGAGTCCCCCGTCCCCCGCACGGCTACCGCGTCGAGGTGAGTGGTCTGAGGTGGCCGTGGTGCATGGTGTTGACCGTGTCATGCCGCTTGCAAGCAATCAGTCGTTCGGGAAATGGCGTTGGTGGCAGGCGGTGCGTGAATGTAAGCTGGTCTTGTCAGTTGTCAGTCGAT